AATATGTATGTATTGCACCATTAGCTAGGTCTTGCATGTAGTGATTGCACTTAAATATTTGTTGATTGAAATCAATGGATTGATAGCATTAAACCAGGTAACAGAGTTTTATCCTTTGGATGCTGCGGTAGACAAGTAGTAGATCATGTATTTACGAATTTGTCCTTTTTCAGTACCGTGTAGACATCCCGTTATAGTCTTTCATGTGTCTATATATCTGCCTTTCACATTTTTCACCACTTTTTCTCATGAGGTACTTATTTTGGGTTTGCCCAATTTAGATGGTCTGCCACCTTGTTCGGCATATGAAGTGGCATCTACATGTGAGTGAATGTTCTACCACATAAGGTTTATACTCGATTTGGTTTTCTTGCAGACTGGAAGTTTGTCTTATATGATGCTGATTCTTTTGGCTTTTGCATTGATGGCATCCTCTGTCTTATCTCTTTGTTGGTTTATTCTACGTGTTTTTGGATTTACGCATCCAAATATTTATCTATTAGAACTATTGGCGGAAGATATGGGTTTTATATTAAACTAAGGAGCATCATATAGGGGCTAAGCTGAAGAATCAACAGGTTGTCTCAACGTTCTCTTGGGTGTCCGTGTACTTTTCTCTTTGCATCTTAAAAGAATTTTCTTTGTGGAGACAAACAAATCATTTGCATGGTGGGTTCTCACAACAGCATCTGCTGCTTGTGTACAACTGGATGGGTGTACACCGTTCAGTGTGCCATTTGTCTTGTATATTGCTCTATGACCTTGTCATCTTCTTTTATTGATTTTTTTTCTTTCCACTGTGAGTGACCTACTGAAGAAGATGATCAACATTATCATTTATCAGTGAAATGCAAATTAAGCCACAATGAGATATTATTATATACCTATCAGAATGGCTGAAATGAAAAATAAAGATAACATCAAATGCTGTTGAAAATTTAGGGAAGTTGGATCACTAATATGTTGCTGGTAGGGATATAAAATGATATAGGCACTCTGGAAAATAGTTCAGCAATTTCTTATAAAATTATGCATGCCTTACCACATGACCCAGCAATTACACTCTTTGGGATTTATCCTAGAGAAACAAAAACTTATATTCACACCAAAACCTGTACATGAATATTCATAGCAGCTTTATTCATCGCAGCCCAAATCTGGAATCTGGAAACAACCCAGATGTCTTCCAGGGAGTGAATGGTTAAGCAAACTGTGGCACATTCATAACAATATAGCAATACAGAGGAACAAAAATGTTTATACACTTAATAACTTGCATAGATATCATGCTTTTATCCCTCATGTAGAGTGAGAAAAGCCCATTTTAAAAGGTTGCTACTGTACTATTCCATTTATATGACATTATTGAAATAACAAAATTGTAGGGGTAAGTAGCAGATTAGTGATTGTCAGGGATTAATGATGTGGGGAGGGGAAGGGTGTGGCTGTGTGAAGGAGTAGCATGAGGAAAGCTGTGATTGTGAAACCGTTGTGATTCTTGATTGTGGCAGTGGTTACATGAATCTGTACATATGATAAAATTGCATAGAACCATACACATACAAATTAGTGCATGTAAAACTTCAGAAACCTAAATAAACTCTACAGATTATACCAATGTTAATGTCTTGGTTTAGATACTGTTCTATAGCTACACAAGTTGTTATCATTGGGTAGGCTAAGTGAAGAGTATGTGAGACCTCTCTGTACATTTTTTGAAACTCTAATTCTAAAATTGTTTCAAAAGAAAAATAAAAATATTTTTAAAAATTAAACAAGACTTTGTGTAAAACTCACATTTCTAAATCACCTTCTGTGGCTCTGTTACCCATCTATCACACATTCAGTCTAGGTTCTCTTAGTTCCTGCACTAATAAATATAAATTGTCCTTGTACTATAAATAGCCCTGCCCTGATCTTGCGTTTATCTTTGGTTTTTTCAACTTTTTTCTTAGGTACATATATTCAGAAACAGAGAAAAACTGCCTATTGAAAATGATTTGTAAGAGTCAGAGTTTGCTAATGTGAGTAAAATAAATCAAATCAGTGAATGATGAATTATATGCAAACTAGTGTAATGATTTGTAGATAACTGAGAAATTATCTTATTCTCAAAAAAAGTCAAAGAACAACGTGTTTATACTGTTAGTACAGCATGTTCTGTGTAACCGTTTTTTTTCTGCCGAGTGGAAGAAGGGTTGGAGGGGCATCAAAGTTAATGGGGACTAGGAGCAGACTGCTATTGGTACAAATCCAAAGAGAATTCATATAAGTGATGGATAATTCAACAAGATGACCACATATTTAATGACAAAATTTACTTACAAAATTATTGGCATATGATAAACATATCTCAATTATAAAATCCAGTGGTGTGTCATAGAATCAAACTAATTAGGGAATACTAGTTTTGCCATGATATCTTAGCCTAGTATTGCTAATTTCAATATTCTTGGAAAAACAGTTTAGGATTTATGTCAGAATATTTTGAGGTTAATTTTCATTAGGTAACTACTCTTTTAATTCAGCAACTCTTATTTCTATAGTAGTGGGTATGTTTAAATTATGACTACCTTGGAATTTTCATACATTTATTTGAAATTAGACATGCTCATTCAAAAATTTAAATGGAGACTAAACATGTAGAAAATAAGAAACAATCTTAAAACAGAAGGGCAATAGAGTGGAGACAAGTTCAATCATACATTAAATAATATGGCTGAAATAATTAAAAAATTTTGACAGTAGTGAAAGCATAACTAGATAGATTGACAGATCAGAAGACAGAAACAACTTACACAGAGAAAATTACTATATTGCAAAGGTATTATTAATCAGGGAGAAAATAATAGATTGTTCAGCACATAATGTTGAGTCAATTGTCTAGTGACTTGAAGAAAATAACCCCTTACCTTATTCCTTAGATCAAAATAACTCCAAATGATAGGCTTAAAAAGATTAGATAAAAAATATACCAGAAATTTTCAGTATTTAAAAAAGTAAGCTTAGAGTGGGTCAGATTTTCTAAGCAAGACCAAAACTTCAGAAGACATTATAAAGGTGAATACATTTGAATATACCATAAGTAAGAGTATATGAAAGCAAATATTTCTACATGGCAAAAATACAATAAAAAAGCAAAAACCAAATGCCAAAATGGAATAAAAAAGTCACATTTTTTTATGTGACTTTTTTAAAGTCACATAAAATGTGACTTTAATATATAAAAAGCTTTAGTAAACCAACAAAAAATTAACTTTCCAAAAGAAAATTGTGCTAATACTATAATAGCTAATGTTACTTATTTGTTATGCTTTAGCCACTATTTTAATTTTTATCTAGGTAGTGTGTAATCTACCTATCTACCTATGTATCTATCATTATCAATATATATCCGTTGGTTTCAATACATATTTCAAATGATTCTCACAGTAATTCTTTAAGGTGTGTACTGTTCTTTCTCCACTAAGTTAATAAAACTTATCAATAATAAAACTAAGTTCAATGATAAAACTAAGTCACAGAAAATCTCTGAGCAAATTTTTCATAGAAAATAAATCGTAGAGCTAGAGTTTGATCACGGGTATTCTGCCTCCAAAACTAACACATAAACATAATTTTCAATAGACTATTCAAAGAGAGACATACAAATGGATTTTAAAATTATTTTTTCAATTCAAGCTTCAGTAATAATAGAGAAAATTTTGAAGTGGTATTCTGAATTAGCATATTTCACCTATTAACTTCAGAAAGATAAAAATGTTTAATAATACATTGTGTTGTCGAGGAAGTGAAGCTGACACTCACACATCGTAAATATGTATAATGCTACTGCTTGTTAGAGGCATTTTGGCAATACTTATTAAATGAAAAATGCATGAGTTCTCTGTTATCATTTACATATTTTCAATAATTTTTATTAATATATTTGTCCATGTTGGCAAGCATCTTTTTATGAGGATAATCATTTCAGCATCATCTTTGGTAGTAAAAGATTGGAAACGAAAATACAAAAATGCAAAACTGTTTAAATATAACATAGTACAGCCAAACAATAGAATACTATGTGGCCATTTTGCATGGACAAAAAACAAGGCACAGAATGATATGTATGTTTGTCTGAAAATAATGAGTATGTACATGTATGAGAGTGTTTGAAAGAACAGATTCATAGATGCCTCTGTAATGAGAACTGTGATACTGAAGGACAGATGAGGAGGAAAGACTTACTTTTGCTGTGTATTATTTATATTGTGTAAAATATTTATAATTTGCATGGAATAATCTCCCTCGCAACACACACACACACACACACACAGTGACTTTCAGGTCTCTCTGAGGTCCAGAAATGGAGACCTCTTTTTTCTCTCTGCCATGCTTTTTCAAAACTTCCTTCCTTTTAAGATCTACCAATTTTGTGACCCTGAATTTTGGTCACAGTTGGTCTCAATCCTGTAGTCACACAGAAAATTATTTGAAGACATGGACTTCTTAATTTATGTTCCAAATTCTCTGCACATTGTATCAGAGAGGTTTCTAGACATATCCGCGAGCTATTTGATCCCCTCAACCCCATCTTTTATTTTCAGAGCTCTAGTATTCTTAAGGTTTCACCTGCTGAGGTTCTTGTGTATTTTAGTGAGAAATATATTTTAGTGAGACACGGAATTACACTTACCAGTTGGGTTCAACTCATTTATAACCTCTGGTTGCAGCTTAGCCTTGAAGACCATTCAAAAAACCATCTAGACAATTAAGAGTCCAAATAAAATAAGGCTTTTCTTATTGCCACTTTAAACCTCATATGCACTATGCCCACCAAATATGAAGAATCTTTTTCTTAGGAGGTGGCATGAAGTGGGTACTGTGGGACTGTACTGTGGCCACAAGGTGGCAGTGGCTCAGTTTACTCTCATTCTACAACTGCCTTTAATTTCAAAAGCATGAAAATTACTAGAGGACTTGCATTTGATTGGTTGAGAGGCCAACAGAAAGGCTCTTTCCTGCATTCGAGAATATGAACTAAGATACAGAAGCAGCTCCTCTGAGAAAAGAAGGTTGAAATTATCGTAATTTGTCTCTAGGCTGAGATACCAGCATGGAGAAAATGTTGGAGTGTGCATTCATAGTCTTGTGGCTTCAGCTTGGCTGTAAGTTGGAGGTTAAGAAATGAGAACCATTCATGAAAAGCTGAGGAGGAGAGATGAAGATTTAATCTCAGCTCATTCAGTTTTCCTGTGGGAAGTTTTCAAAGCTGCTAAACTAAAAGCTTTGTATAATTTCTGATTTTGTTTTCCTGAACAGGGTTGAGTGGAGAAGACCAGGTGACGCAGAGTCCTGAGGCCCTGAGCCTCCAGGAGGGAGAGAGTAGCAGTCTCAACTGCAGTTACACAGTCAGCGGCTTCAGAGGGCTGTTCTGGTATAGGCAAGATCCTGGGAAAGGCCCTGAATTCCTCTTCATCCTGTATTCAGCTGGGGAAGAAAAGGAGAAAGAAAGGCTAAAAGGCACATTAACGAAGAAGGAGAGCTTTCTGCACATCACAGGCCCAAAACCTGAAGACTCAGCCACTTATCTCTGTGCTGTGCAAGCACAGTGTTCCCCAGGCACTTGCAACTTGTATCAAAACCCTGCAGCTGGGGATCTGGAATGATGGCAGAGGCATCTCTGCTGCTCTTCCTCCTGAAGGAGTATTTATTTAATACCCAGGACATTTTTCCAAATAGTCCTTTGGAGAATGAAGTCATGAGACAAAGCCAGAGGGCAGGGACTACTGTTCATTCTGCCCGGGCATCCTAGACAGTCCCTTGTGCATGTTCATGGGTCAGTCTACTCTTAATAACATCCCAGAACTTCCCTCATATAAATTCAGAAGCGCCAGATGTAATATGAAGAGTCCTGGATTCCAGTTATGGACCACTTGGAAAAAGACTGCACAGGTGCATACACTCTCTGCTGAAAAAAATGTGTGTATGTGTCTGTGTTGTCTTACAATAATCTGGTCACATTAATATAAGTAAATCTTTTTCATTTTAATATAGTATTCCTGAAGCCCACGTCTCCACCAGTCACATCTCTATATTTCTCATCCCTTTGTCATCAAATTACCTGAAAGAATTGTCTGTACTCATTCTCTTAATTTCCATTCTTCAGGCCGGGCGCGGTGGCTCAAGCCTGTAATCCCAGCACTTTGGGAGGCCGAGGCGGGCGGATCACGAGGTCAGGAGATCGAGACCATCCTGG